TTCACTCCACTACATCCTCTGGCATGATGCTATTGTCTTCTGTTCAGCTGACAATGCACTGAACCCCTGAAATCTTTAGTCAAATTAAACCTGCCTGCTTTAGGTTTTATGTGTAAAGCATTTTTTTTTTTTCTCAGCAACAGGAAAAATGACCAAAAACAAGATCTACAGAACTGAACTTACATAAATACCAAATTTTTCATAAAATATACTAAAACTGATAACATTAAAAAGTCAGAAAGGGAATATATAGTTTACAACCAATAGTTTGGTTTGTATATGCAGTGAATTAAATAATGTTTTCCAGAAACCCAATGTACACCTGAATTGTTAGAATATGACTTTATTTGGAAATAGGTTTTGGGTTTTTGCAGATGTAACTAGTTAAGTTAAAGTCATACTCGATTATAACATGGAATAGACACCATCGCTTGTTCTTTTATAAAAGAAGAGGGCCATATACAGATGAAGAAGAAAGGCAAGCAATGGGGGCAGTATTGGAGTGGTATACTCAAAAGCCAAAGAATTCCACTAGAATTTTGTGTATCTTCAGAAGCAGCATGACTCTCCTAACACCTTACATTAGAATTTATAGTTTCCAGAGATATTGTTTTAATTCACCTATTTTCCTGGTTGTTATGGCAGTTCTAGAAAACTAACAATGTGTATTTTGAGAAATTTAATTTGCATGTATTTTACTGTGGTTTATTTTGTCAAAATGCAATTATTCTGTGCTTATTTCTTTCCTGTGTTTCAAAAGTACTTTTTATACCTTTCCAAATTACTATATCTATATTTAATTCTACCTCTTTACTAATACTTTTGCAAAACCAGACAGAAAATTGCTGAAAATGATAACTTTTTGTTACAATGACTGCATTGGTGGGAACTTTAATTTTTTTTTATTCATTTTAATGATGATGGAAAATTTTTTAAAGGTAAGCTAGTGGTAAAATTATCTTCACAAAAATTGACACAAACACTAAATTGTAATAGGTATCCACACTAGAATTGTTAGACCCAATTCCACTTGTCTTTGCAGTATATATGTATGTATGTTTGTATGTATGTGTGCAGTGTGTGTATCTAAAGCCATTTTTATTCAAAGTAGAAATAAGAGAGAGGTTAACATGAAAGATTTAAGAGGGGCTAGGGAGATAGCTCAGTAGAATAACTGCTTGCCTGCCAGCACAAGGGCCTGAGTTCAATCCCCAGTTCTGCCAAAAGAAAAAGATTTAAGATGTATAATGCAATGTACTAATTGCATACTGCAATTGCTTACTACACAGGTACTAATAAAGACTTTCGCAGTTACTTTATTTGGCTTAATATGGTACTTTTAATATATTTTTATTAGACACGATAAAAATTATAACCCTACAGGAAATAAAATTATGAACATGCAACACAATGTTAAATTTTAGTATTAGGAAGTTTTTCAGTGATACACTATTTTATTCTTTTCTTTTCTTTTTTGAAGACAGGGTCTAGCTATGTAGTACAGGCTGGCCTTGAACTCATAGCTATTCTTCTGCTTCAGCCTCTGAGCTCTGAGATTATAAGCATGCGCCATGCTTGGCTGTATAATATATTTTAATACACAGTATCACCATATTATTCAATGTTTGCATAGACATTTATGGTTTTACACCAATACATAATCTTTCCATACAGATAATACAATTTCTGACTTTAGTATTTTTTCATTATTGAATATATTTGTAGTAATTAGCTGTCACATTTGGCATGTGAACCATTTAGAAGGGATAAAACAGTTAACTGTTAAACTAATAAAACTCTAAAATATGAATCTTAAACTTTTATGTGGAATTTAATACAGGTATTTATTTTCATCTCGAAAACTTCATATTCTTGATATATAATAAGTAGAAAATAAGTGCAATTATCTGGGGTCCTATAATAATTCAGTTCATCCACTGTCTTTATGTTGTCTCAGCGAAAGTAATTTTCAAAAATGACATTTTGCCATACTACATATTTGAAGAAATAAAGCAGTCATTCATTGAAAAGAAAGCACCTGACATCTTTGGTAATGACATTGATCAAACTCTCCTTCGAAAATGTCTTGCCAGGCCACGTGTGCGCAGCGGGGCTGCTGCTGGAAGCCGTGGAACAACTCTGTCATTCCGTGGTGCTTCTTTGTGGATAACCACGGCTACAACGTGGCAGAACGGAGAACCACAAATGCTGGTGAGCACTTCCTCACGCTTCAGTGTAATATTTTCTAAGTGAAAGATAAATCCAAAAGTTGTCTTTGAAAAAATGTCTTAAAATCAAATAAGAAGTATGCACACCAAAATGTTTACATTTATTGTACACTGTTGAGTATTTACTGTTTTCATTGTAGTTTGAGTTAAATAAAAACTTGTGTTTTTGCAAGTTAAATAAAAATGCATTATTTATAATAAATGTATTACTATACATGAAAATATATTTAACAATTGAATCTTTATAATAATGTTAACTCATGCCTGCTTCATATTCCTGGTTGAAGGACTTGAAGTCAAATTGAATAGGATCTCCTCTCCTACTCTATTTGGAAATGACATTAACAACATTCTCCTCACAACTGAAAATCAGACAGCCAATCGTTTCCGGTTCAAGGTTTGGTTTTTGATCTTTCTTTCTTTCTTTCTTTCTTTCTTTCTTTCTTTCTTTCTTTCTTTCTTTCTTTCTTTCTTTTTTTTTTGGCAGAACCAGTTATTGAACTCAGTCCCTTGTGCTTGCCAGGGAAGTGCTTATTCCACTGAGCCATCTCCCTGGCCCCTTGCTATTTCTATAGTAGACTGAATAATAAAACACATCATGTGAACATACTTTTTGACCTATTAATATATTTTACTTCTTGAAAAATATTTATTTTAAAGCAGAGGAGTAGTTCCTGTATTTGTTATACTTCTTAAGCTTGTTTTCTCAAGTATAATTTAGGAATATTATAATAAATTTTATTATATATTTATATATTATAATAAATTAGGAATATGCATGCTCCTCACATGCATAGTTTTAAAATTTTAAATAATAGTTTCCATGTATAGTATTTAATATACTATTTTAAAGGGTGAAAATTGAATGAATGTTAGTATTTTCTTATTTCAATTCTAGGCTGTGATGGAGTGCTTTTTAAAATTTAATATGAAAGTAATTTAATAGTACCATAAGAATGTAATTTCGATTCACTATATATTATAGTCATTGTCACTTCATTGTTTTATTGTATTTGTATATTTTTTTAACTTTGCATTACTGGGTATGGAACTCAGACCCTCACACTGAGCTACATTTGCAGCCCTTTTGTTACTTTTTATACTGAAGTAGGATCTTATAAATTCCTGAGTTTCCCAGGCTTGGATTGAATTCCTGCCTCCCCCCCACGCCGACCCCCTTCAGAGTACTAGGACTGCAGGCGTGTACCACCACACCTGGCTCTCTGCTTGACTTTGAAAAAAAAAATTGTCTCTACTGTTTGTAGCAAATAGTTTAGAGGCATAATTTTTTTTTTTTTTTTTTTTTTAAATTTTCAGATGAAAAATTATTTGTATATTTTCATTTTACCAACAATTTCATAAGAATTATGAGATTTTAAAATTTTATGTATTCATTCATTTTTGCAATGTTGGGCACTGTTAGGAGAGTGATCAACTCAGAGTTACATCTCCAAGTCTCAATTGCATGAAATAAAATTGAAAATTTTTGTGGGCACAACTATGGAAGAGGATGAAAACTAAAAAAAAAGAAAAAGAAGAAGAAGAAGACTAAGAATAATTAAGTTCATAAACATCTACTATTCATTAATCAAAATCAGATATTGCTATCACGGAGTTTTTATCAGTTCATAAAACTCTTACTTGTTTTGCCATATGAAACTTTAAAATTGAACTCAATATTTTTATTTCTTGACAATATATATGGCTATCTGTGCACAGCCACCCATTACTTTAGAATTTAGATGGTGACAAGCTAAAAGCTCTTGTCACAATTTGCTAAATATATTATTTTTTTATTTAAATTTCAAGTCTATAATACAAAATTTTAAAATAAAAACAATTGTTTTGAACCATACAAAGATAATCTATTTCAATCTTTGCAGATTACTGATCCAAATAATAACAGATATGAAGTTCCTCACCAGTTTGTAAAGCCGCACAATGGACCCGCAGCTTCCAACACACTCTACGACGTGCAAGTTACAGAAAAGCCTTTCAGCATCAAAGTGATCAGGAAAAGCAACGGCAAAATTTTGTAAGCAGGAATTTTATTTTATGGTTATATGAATTTAAGTAACTGGTCCATTCTATCCTATTTTTATAGAATAATACTACCTGAAAAATGCATTAAGAACATTTTTGTGATGAGAAAGTTGGTACAGCAACCAACTTTGAGATTTTGATGAGAAGAGGATCTTAATTCCTGCTCATGAGATACACTGACATGTGAATAATGTGAAAATACCAATTGAAGTGAATTAAATGTGCAAATGAAGAAAATCACTGACATCACAGCCTTGCTATATTTTTGTAAATGCAGATTATTGCTGTATATTATTCTCATTGTTTATCACACTGTGCTTTCAGTCCGTGATATGATTGGTCGATATTTGATGGTGTCTTACTTTATATGGTAATATAAAATATTTTTAGACATATGAATTTAAATCTATTCTGAGTATCTTTGTTTAGAGCCTATCAGCTGCATGGGGGGGGGGGGGGAAATATGTACAAGGAGTTTAGACATTCCCTGAAAATTAAAACAAAGTGCTATGTAGTCCCAAAAATGTCTATTAAGCAATAATCAAAAGCAAATCTCAAATTATATTCTCTGAAAGTAATTTAATACTTTTGCAATTGGCTCTGTGCTATAAGACAAAAATACAACTCTACAGGTGGAAGCTACAACAATCAAAATCAGATGGTAGAATGGTGGTGAGGATTACCACCTGGGAGTACTTGTTCTTGGTGCATCATAAGGAGCTGTTGATTAAACAGCTACATAGGAGTGTAGGAGAATAAAATTTCAAATTTCGTTGCACATGAATTTAAGAAATAATTATTTCACATATATTTCCAAATTGCTAAGAGAATAGACCCTAAATGTTCACCCCATACAAAATTACATATGAAGTAATGAATATGTTAATTAGATTCAGTCATTCAATAACATATATAAAAGAATCACATTGTACTTCAGAAATATGTGAAATTGTAATTGGACAACAAAAACAGAACATAGTAAATGCAAGAAAGGGCATTTAAAAAGTCTGCATAGTATGTACAACTAATTCCTTTTTCCATTATTTATATGGAATAATATGTATTTATATGGAAGTCAATCTCAGTACACAAGTGAAAGGTGTGAAAGTCACTATAAGCTAGATTAGAAATCGTCCCTGGAGTGCGGCAGATACTGGAAACCTGGAACTTTTGTCTGCTAACTGTGACCTCTGAAAACATGATTTTATTCTTTCAGTGTGTGTTATCTATGAAATTGTAAATAACCGTAGTTTTGTGTGAGGGTTGTGATGACGCATAAAGAAGAAAATGCACGTGGAAGTATTATAGTCATGGTCTTGACAAAAATCATATTGATTAATAAATACGTTTTGATTATGTCCATATTTGTATTGTTTGCAAATGTGACCACATATCACATTGACATCTGTGCCACTAAATATTCTGTATGATGTCAACCTAAACAAATATTTGATGGAATATTTTGTATGTTTGTAACCATTTAATTCTTTATTTCTTGGTTCAGATTTGATACGAGCATTGGTCCTGTGGTGTACTCTGATCAGTATTTGCAGATTTCAACCAGACTTCCCAGTGAATATATGTATGGCTTGGGGGAACATATTCATAAGAGATTTCGCCATGACTTATATTGGAAAACATGGCCCATCTTCACGCGAGATGAGCTTCCTGGTGACGTAAGACATCCTTGTTATCAATGAAACCGTTGTATTGAACTAAATGTCCTACTTCAAGTCATCATTCAGTTGTCACCAGTTAACTTTTTTTGGCTATTAGAGGTGTTTAATACATAAGCTTGCTTAAGCTTCATTGATGAATCCCAAATTGATTTCATGAATGTTTGAATAAGGTAATTTCAATGTGTGATTGTTTTTCTTTCTTTTTCTCTTTCATAGTTTATTATTCATTTTATAGTCACCTTCATATTTAAATCCAGCAAGCTAGAATAATTCCAAAAACTACGTTTTAAAGGATATAGTGTAATGCTATCTTTTGGACATCATTTTATCCGTCTCTAGGCACTACTTTCTGATCTACATGGTCATCTTTTGTAACTTCAAATTTTTGTGAAGGAGTTGATTTTGTCTCTCTGAAATTTGAGATAGTTTATCATTCATAAAATATATCATTGAAGGCATATCTGAATTTCCATCCTGTGAAAACTTCTTTTAAATTCTATGCAGGGATTATCTTTACTTTGTTACCCATTTTACACACACACACACACACACACACACACACACACACACACATAATTGTTGGCTATTTCATTCTGAAAAATGAATGTGAGCAATTTTTTTAGGAAGATTCCCCAGGGACAGACTCCTAATACATTCTTCCCAACTCTGTTTTGATACCACTGCTCTCTGTACTAAATAGCAGGCTGAGGACCTCCTGCTTTTCCACACACATTCCTTCTTAAAAAATCCTATGTCAAATGCATTAGGAAGGTTTTTCCTTTTGCCTCATCAGTGTCTTCATAAGCCGCTTCCACTAATTCAGCTCTTCGTCAACCCTCAAGAAACCAATTGAGTGTAGTCATCTGTGTTTGGTGGGGTGGCCATAACATCCGATGAGTGAGCATATCATTAGCTAGGATAAGTAGGTTACCATGGTAATTTAACTCTAATAAAGGAAAAAGAATAATAAATACTCTATTACTATCACATAAATTATGTTATATGTTGTGTGTTCATGTAAAATTATTAATTAAAAACTTTGTGCTACCATATATACATAAATATATATATATATATATATATATATATATGAAAATAGTATAAAAATAGGAGTAAAGAATAAAAACAAAAGAGTTGGGGAAGGTCAATTTAACATAATAACCCTTACTCCAAATGTATAATAAATTCTAATTTTTATCTTTGTCTTATAGAATAATCATAATTTATATGGCCATCAGACATTCTTCATGGGCATTGAAGATACTTCTGGAAGATCATTTGGTGTGTTTTTAATGAACAGCAATGCAATGGGTAAGAACATTTACCTGATCATGTGATAAGGGAAGATTCCACTTGACATGTTGAAGTGTTCTATTTATCCCAGGCATGGATATTAGGTGCCAAAAGATTGAAATCAGTGGCCAATAAAATTTTTCCCATCCACATTTTTATTTTGGGCCAAGAATTCTATGTTGTAGCCAACAGCTGCTTTCTTTGGCCTTAGACATAATGTAGAACTAGATCTGTAAAAATTAGTGATGTCCTTTCTGACAGCTAGTTTTGTCAAGATGCGTTCATAGGGTACTACTTCTAAAAATATGATTTCTATGTGATAAAAATAAGAGCAATGTGTAGTAGTTCATTATGATTCAAAGAAATATAAGATATTATGGCCTTTAAAATGTGAGTAGAATTTAACAAGTGAAATAGCGATAATAAACTGTATGAAGATTAATGTCCTAGAAGGAGCAGTTATGCAGTTAATGCAGAAAACAGCTAGAATCAAACTTTCGATTTTTTTCATAGAAACTAATTTGTAGCAACTCAATCTTTCAGAGAATCTTGAAATAATTAATGGAGATGTTAGAAAGAAAGTATTAGGAAGAATCCTGTTTGTTGTAAAATGTCTAGACTTTACTCACCACTATGAGATTTCTGGGGGAATCCTTGCCAGCTCTGTCTGGGGAGATTCGTCTCTCCTATTACGAACATCATACATGTCTGCGTACTACTTCTCCTATAATGTGAACTGTACACCTGATGTCTTATTTCTCTTAATTATTGAAAATAGTGGAAAATAATGTGGTTAGCAGAAAAGCACTTTACATAAATGCTATGATCATCTTATTGCTATTTTTTATAATTTATATGTACTTTCCCTATTTTTGTTTTGTAGAGATTTTTATTCAGCCAACACCAATTGTAACTTACAGAGTTACTGGTGGCATTTTGGACTTTTACATCTTCCTGGGAGACTCACCAGCACAAGTAGTTCAACAGTATCAAGAGGTGTGTTTCAGGCCTACTTTATATAAAAGTATTTTATAGTCTATTTTCATCTAACAAATATATTTCATTATCACTTTACTTTATATATCTGGAGAATCTTGGCTACACATATTTCAAATCTTACATTTTGCCATGCTGAATATTGCCTTAAGAACTTTTGTGGTGAGCTATATTTGTATCCCTTTTTATTTTTACTTCTATTTTTATTTTGATATGGGTTCTTGCTACATTGCCCTAACAGGGCACAAGAGTATATTCCTTTTGGCTCAGCTTTCCCAGTGCTGCGATCACAGATGTGTATCAAAATGCCCTGATAAACCTCACCGTTTTAAAGATGTAAGTGTATATTTTACCCATACATACTGTATATAATGTTATATACATTCAATGTCTGCCTTTTTAAAGACATTTTAAAATTCAAGACAACTGAATTCAGAAGTGAGATTACTTGGAATTAATGCATATTAAACCATTGCTTTTTGATGACTTGCTTTGGGGAGATAAAGCATCAAGAAGAATCTCTTAACACTGAGAACAGGAAATAATAGTGCAAATTATACATAGTTTTGATCAAACTACTGAGACAACAGTACAATTTCCCTTTTAACTTTTTGTTGTTAATCTTCTATTGTTTTGCATAATTTTCCATGATAGATAAAATATCATAGGCAATTGTTGTTTTCTTCAGTATTGCACTTTCTTTCTTTCTATTTTTAAAAATGTGTTTGGTAGTTACAGGGTCTCACTACACAGCTGGGACTCGTAGTGATCCTCCTGCTTTCAGCCTCCTCAGCGCTGGGATTATAGGCATGTGCCACTATGCCCAGACTCTAGCAGGGTCAGCCCACCCTGTGGCTGTGGCTGGTGTGGCTTGTGGTGCCGAGTATCGAACCACAGTCCCTATGGTTGCTAAGCTTGCCTAAGCAGGCACTTTAGTCCACTGAGCTATCTTATCAGCCAAGCACTGCATTTTCTAAATTAAAAAAAATGCACAACATAAATTTCTAATTATTTTTTTAATTATACAGGAAAAATTTTAGAATAAAGATACACTAAATCTTTGTTTATAATTTTAATTAAATAATACTAGAGACACAGCAGTATAAAGAGCCCATTAATATTACTGATTAAGGTTAGAAATATTTTTCTTCTTTGAAGCTAATTAAAACATTAATTTCTCTCAAGCTCATTGGACTACCAGCAATGCCAGCATACTGGAGTCTTGGATTCCAACTGAGTAAATGGAATTACTCGTCACTAGATGTAGTGAGAGAGGTGGTAAGAAGAAACAGGGAAGCTGGCATACCATATGTAAGTAGAATGATGGATTATGGGAATATATACCTCAGGTTGAGCATTGTTGTATACTAATAGATGTGGCTAATTGTCAGATATATACAGTGTATGTGTATATGATTAAAATGCTACTTTTAATGATGAAGTGCATTGGATCAGTGCCCTTACTTATTGCTTGTAATATATGTGCATTTTTGAACAAATGATCGATGGTTATCTTTTTTCTAGACCAGAGGATGTTTAGCCATGAACAAAATTGCATCAATATTTTCAATAGTCCTTATTTTACTGTGTGTTTTAGTAATATGAATATTTAGAAAAATCATACCAAAAATATGAACAAGCATTTAATATTTGTACATTTAAGAAGTAGGAAACTACTTTTATAAGTAATCGTTTCTTTCATAACACCAAAGGAAAATGAGTTAACTTACCTTTAAACCACTTTTTTTATAATACAAATTCATTAGCATTAAAATTTCAATCTACTAGAGAATTCTATTAATACCATTATTGAAATACACTATGCTAATTTTCAGGATACACAAGTGACTGATATTGACTATATGGAAGATAAGAAAGATTTTACTTATGATAAAGTTGCATTTGACGGCCTCCCGGCTTTTGTTGACGATTTGCATAGCCATGGACAGAAATACGTTCTCATCTTGGTAATGAAATTTTTTACATTTCTATTTTCTTATATGATGGACTTGTAAATATGTAGGCTTTCTATAGTTTCTGCTTTCTATTGTCAGGATCCTGCAATTGCTATAAGTAAACTTGCCAGTGGAGAAGCATATGGCGCTTATGACAGGGGAAGCGCCCAAAAGGTGTGGATAACTGAGTCAGATGGAACTACGCCACTGATTGGAGAGGTAAATTATGTGCATTAAGCTTGTGTGTATCTGATTTCCTATTCTGTTAAGCCAGAATGTCTCATAATGTGTGTTTCATATTTGCTTTCTTCCTCCTTCTTCCATTTTCAAGAGAAAAAGTGAAAAATAGCAATAAATCAGTTTCAAAACAGGTTATTAAGAGAGTAGCAATAATTAGTGCACAGCATATTCCATAATTGTTGTTCAAGGTACCACATATAGGCATGAAATATTGCACAAACAGTATTAGCACACGTCTTTCTTTTCAACAAACTAAGAGATACAAATTGTACAACTATCTTAACTATGATATATATATATATATGTATCATATATGTATATATATTTTTCCCCTTTTTCTTCCTTCCTCACAGTTCTTTTGCTTTTCTTTTGGAGTGTTGCTTCCCTACCCTATTATCTATTTTATAATTTTTATCTTATTTATTTTTTCTGTTTTTCACACTAGTCAGGGAATACGATGTTTATACATGTGCATCTGATTTATTTCACTTATGAATATGTTCTTGAGTTGCATCTATTTACCTGTAAAAGTCTTAATTTTATCTTGCTTTATGGCTGATTAGTATTCCATTATATGTAAAAATGCATCTTTTATATCCATTCCTTAATTGAGGGGTATTTGCCTTGTTTCCAAGATTTAGCTATGATAA